CTTAATGGAACAACGTGTGTAACTACTAACGTCACCGCACCTCCGGGCAGCCCACCCACGTGTGCGGCTGTGTTTACAAACGGATCCGTGCGTGTCTGGGACTCACTCCCTAAGGAGAGCCGGACGCAGATAACGCAAGAAGCCATTCGGCCTGGAATGCACATACGATATCTTTCTCTTTTCACTGGCAGCAGATTTACCCGCCTAATTATATTTGGCACAGGCTAATATTAAAATTCATCGGCATTCCTTCTAACAGCTGCTGTCAGAAGGTCGGGGACTCAAACATCTTGGCAAGCTACCCTGAGACTAAAATATTTGCAGCAGATAATCTGTACGTGGACAATTGGAAAAGGACTATGGATATGTTAGGGCGACCGTCCAAACTCCAGCCAGGAAGCTCTGGCTTGTGTTAAATCTTACGTTGTATTAGCTGAGAAGAACTTGCCAGGTAACTGGGCTAAGGGAGGCGTCTGCCGTGCATTTGAAATGTTAGTAATTCCCGGTCTTCAGTGGGGCTGATTTAGTCATAACTGTGTTTCAAATTCTGTTTCTTCTTTCAAAGTTTCCTACCAATCACGCCTTTCTGGATTGTGTTAAAATAAGCTGCCTTTTGCCAATGTCACGCAGGTGTTAGATTGTCACCTATTCCCCATGCCAGTTTCTAGCGTCAGTCGAGGCAGCAGGCATGGCGTGTCTGTCCTGTAGCCAGCCGTCCTCACGCCTGCCTGCAGCATGTGCTGCCGCCCAGCAAGCTGGTGGAATGCCTGCTCCGTGCGCGTGTGGGGCGGGCCACCCTGGGCGACCGGGGCAGAAGCCAGCAGGGCCCCTGCTCTCGAGAAGCTTGCACCCTGGCGGTGCAGGTGTGGAGGCTCCTGTGACGCGGGCAGAGGGTCCCAGATAGGACTAGACAGAGCAAACCGCGAGACCCAGCGGGAGACGGCCCCCTGCCAGCTCCAGACGCGTTTGCACCAAGTAGGAAAGGCGCCCTTCCTCGAGAGACCTTTCTGCCATCCGCCTAGAAAACATTGTGAGTAATACACATGTCTGTGGTGCCTGCCGTGTGAGTGGCGCCTCCTGGAGTTGTGCAGTGTGCAGCCCGCTTCTCAGAGCCGGTCACCAGTGACCCCCAGTGACCCGACCAAGCAGGGGGAGTCCTGAGGTGATCACCCTGCTGGGCTGCTCAGAGGGCGGGGCTGTTTCATCTCACAGCCCTTCTCATGCTGTTGGGTGGCGCCATCTGCCAGCAGCTCAGGCTGGGTGGGCTGTGCCGTCCTGCTCCCTGGTCACTGCTGTTTGCCAGGGTAAACAGTCCCTGGTGACTGGGACTCTCCCAGCAGGGGGTCCCAAAGGAGCCTCCCGCGGGGCCCATGGGGGTGGGGGCGGGAGTTTAGACCCATGATCAAAGTTGCCACCATTCAGGTACTTCCTCTTTTCTTTCTCTCTCTTCCTCCCTCCCATCCCTTTTTCTAAACTGGGGGAGGGGAGAGGGAAGAGACTGTCTTTGATCTCAGCGGAGGAAAAAAGTCTGTTCTGTTCAGGCTTTTGGCTAACACAACAAACAGTGTTTAAAATTTAACTTTGCTTAATTAATTAGTAATTCTGTTTAATGCTGTCTGATCTCCCTCCAAAAGGTATTTTGAAGCTTGAGAAGGGAACATCAAAGGGAGCCGGGTGAAGATGGTCAAGTAATGCATTTAATCTGGCAGTTGCTGGGGGTGGAGAGCTGCCAGGCTGGGAGCTCGTGGGGGAGAGAACCGTCATTTGGTAAACACAGCAAGCCGCCGCCTCGTGGCCATGGTATGAGGAGGGACAGGGAGCAGCTTCCAAAGAGAAGAAGTCCACAAACCGCCCCCAGACTTGTTTGGGCTGGGAATTGGTTTTAGAAAAGCAGAGCTGACATTTTCTTTCTTCCATGGCCACTGTGTATGGTTGGGCAGGTTGGGTACTGAGTAAGGGTTGCCAGTCAAGTGGCAGGCAGCAGGTGCAATCCAGGCTGCGCCTTGCTCATCCAGCGTGTACCCTGGGGGGGCTGGAGGTCTGCGTTCACCTACAGTAGTGATCCACAGACTTCCAAGAAGAGCCAGATAGCATGTGTTTCAGGCTTGTGGGCCATATGGTCTCTGTTGTGACTGTTCAGCTCTGCTGTTGTAGTGAAAGCAGCCATAGACACTGTGATTGAGCATGACTGTGTCCCAATAAAACTTTATTTACAAAAACAGGTGGTGGGCCAGGTTGGCTCACGGGGTGTAGTTTGTCAACCCAGAGGTGCTTGGTAGGCAAGTGGACGGCTGTGCTTTCCTCCCTACTCTGTTCCTGTCATTCCTTTTCCCCTGCCTGTTCCGTGCTGTCCTTTCTTCTTCCAAATTAACAGTATCTCCTGCACTTACTCTGACTTGCCATCAATGAGTGATCAGAGACCCCCTGAAATTTTGATCTTTTGACCCCCCAAAAGATGATCTCCCAAGGAAAACAAAATTGCTGGGCTATAGGAATAAGAGACAGAGAATGGACTCATCCTGACTCCATTCCCTGGTCGGCGTGACCTGAGTGACCTGCCGTGAGCGCCATTCGCCCCACCTACCTGCTGGTGAGTGCCACCCATGGGCGATTGGTTCTGTGCAGGGTGCTGCAGGCCGTGGCTCTTCGACTTGGTTTGGTGTCAGAGGGTTCATATGTGAATGTAGGTGCAGGGCCCTGAGACGTAGTGCCTGCCCCTGGCACTGCGATCCGCGTGGCCTTCTGGCCACTGGGCGGGGATGGCAAGAGGACGAAAGACCTTTGGTGGGGGAAGAGGGTGCTGACTGTCCTTGTCCCTGACCCCAAAGTTCCCAGGGCAGGAAGGATCACAGTCCTGCCGCCTGCCTGTGTCCAGCCCTATGACGGCAGTGGCTGTCTGGTGGGTTTACTGACCGCTGGCTGCCCCATTGGTGTCTGCATGGTGGTCTGAGCTGGGATGGGATGAGGGACCTGGGACAATCCAGGCCACGCTGGTCTTTGGAGAAGACATATAAGGAGCTGGGGGATGTTTTCCATCCCTCTTGGGAGGGGAGAAAGGAAGGAGGCAGGAGAGGACCTAAGGGAAGACAGGCTCTCTGTGTGTGGCGAGGAGGGGTGCTCCAGAGGAGAGAGCAGGGACAGAGGTTCCTTTTCTTTGGGTTTTATCAAGTGGAACATGAAAGGCAACATTGAACCTGAAGGAGGTTTTCTGATAAGTTCCCTTTGAACTTGAAGTTTGGTTTCGATAAGCCTGGCCAGCTTGCATCTCCGGCCAGGACCTTTGGGGAGGGAGGCCGCAGCTTTGAAGATGGAGCTGGGCTTTGTTTTTCTTTCTGCTTTTGCTTTTTCTTCTTTTCATCCCCCCTGGGAGGGGTGAATGGAGGATGTTGCAGGCAGTGCTATCACTGTGGTTTCTCCAGTGGAGCAGTTCTGGGTAAGAGGGATCCTTTGGATGTGGGGTATGAGCTGGCTCCATGGCCCATCTACATCCTTTGCAAAGCCAGCATTTATTGAGCACTTACTGTGTGCTGGCCACTCTCCTCATTGGTGTCTCGTGACAGCCCTGCGAGGGCGAGACCATTGCATCCCAGTTTACAGATGAGGGGCCTGCGGTCCAGAGAAGTCGAGTGCCTTGGCCAAGGCTGCCCCAACCGGTCAGCTGCAGGGTCAGAGTATGAGCCCAGGGCATGAATCCGAATGTGTCCTCTCAAATGTGACTCTCCTGCCCAGCCCAGCTGCACCCACTAGAAATGCTGGAGTCTTCCAAGGCCGAGACCCTCACTTAGTGCTGGGAATGGGGAAAGCCCTGGCTCCCCAATGGGTGACGCTGGTGCCTACGGCCTTGTGGCTGGTGGAGAGGGCTGTGCCCTGTGCCCTGTCTGGCCCTGTGGTGGTGGCAGCCCTGGCTCGCCAGGGCACCAGGTAGATTTGGGATGGAGGAGTTGGGGTGCCGGGCTGTGTGCTTGGGTGTCCTTGGGTCCCTAGCCAATCACCTGCCCCAGGGTTCAGGCTCCCACTGCAGTGGGGTGGCCCGGCCTTTGAGGCGTTGCTGTGGAGGAGCGGGGGGCGGGGCTTGGTTTCATACAGTGTAATCGAAGCCGTTGGCCCCAGTGAGCCTCCCCACAGTGCCAGGGCCCCCGTCCTCGAGGCCTTCTGAGGAGCGGTGTCTCTCAGGCTTGTTCTTCCTGGCCTCACGCAGGGAAGCCACCAGAAGGAGCCGAGGTCCGTGTCTGAGAGCCGGGTCTCTAGCTGGAGCCCTGACGGCTTCGGGGAGCCTGGCCGAGCACCACGTGGGCGGCCCTGTGAGGCTCCGGTGTGCTGGGGCGAGGGGCGGCAGGACTGGTGGAGCCGCTGTGGGCCAGCCAGGCGCTGCTGTGGCCTTCTTGCCCCCGCCCGGTCTGAGCAGGTGGCCGGGCGTCTCCCCACCGCGCTGCTGTCCACGCGACCGTGTGTGCCTGCTGTAGTGCTGGCGTGTCGTTTCTGCTCCCAAGGCCTCAGTTTTGAGAAAACTTAGTGCCGCCTGCTCTGATTCCCACAAGAGGCAAGGTGGTGAGGCCGTCCTCGCCCCGACGGTTACTGCCCACGGCCGGGACCGTGCGCTGGGCCCCGCGGTGGCAACTTTGAAGAGGCTGAATGTCAGCGTGGAAGGCAGTGAGGCTGGGCAGAAATGGCCACGGTCTTGGGGCCCCCAAAGCTCTCCCTGCGCTCATCGGCTTGCCCTTGGCCTGGCGTCGTGCCAGGTGCCCGTGTGCCTCTGCGGGCACAGAGGCCTCGGGCTGACGGGGGCCGGAGGGGCCCACCGGGTTACCGGGTGCCTGGTGCAGACAGACACACCCTGGGGCGTCTTGGGGTCCCCTCCCAGGCCGCCCGGCGTCACCAGGGCCCGAGAGCAGTGACTTCGTCCTAGATGGGCCGCAGGAAGGGCCAGCACGCTGGGGAGCACGTCGTCCGCGCCAGGCCGCGCGGGGCCCCTCCTCACGCTCTCTCACCCCCTCCCGCAGTGGCGCTGCCCCCGGAGAAGACCGACGGCCTGGGCAGCGGGGATGAGAAGAGGATGGAGAAGGCGAGTGAGGCCTGCCCGGCCTCCAAGAAGCAGCTGAAGTTTGAAGTAAGTCTCTTCCCTGGTGCCGGCCTGGGGGGCGAGAGGGGCCCTCTCCTCTTGGTGCCTGCAGGGCTGAGAGGTAGGAGGGAAGCCAAGGCCCGCCCAGACCGGAGGGCCCCGAGTGGGAGGTTCCTGCTGTCATGCCCGGCCGCCCTGGCTGAGGATGAGACTCCAGAAACTCGCCACTGCCACCGTCTCAGCCTGGCCGCCCGCTCTCTGCGTGCGTGGTGGCCAGTGGCCCACGAGTGGACGGGGAGGTGGGACAATAGGGCTCTGGGCCTGCTGCTGCCGTTACCCCTCCGAGCCTCAGTTTCCTCAGCAAAACCTTCCCCTAGAGCTTGTTCTAAGGCACATGTGGGGGCTCTCAGGTGGGCAGGAGGCCTCGGGCAGGTCCTGGATGCTCTCCGGGCCTCAGTTTCCCTGTGTGGTCAACACAAGGCTGTGCCCTCCGTGAGCTCACGGTCCGTCGGTCCCTCCGACCCAGCAGTGCACTGAGCCCCGTCCATGCGCCAAGCTCAGCACCAGGTGCTAGAGCAAGGCCGGCCTGCCGAGTGGAGCACCCGCTTCTCTCTGCCCTCCGCCTTCCTCCCCGTGTGTCCTCCTAGCCACTGGGGCCTAGTCCTGACTCAGCAGGCCAGGGTTCAAGTCCTAGCTATACCCAGCAGTAGCTGCGTGACGTCAGGGCAAGTCCCTTAAAGTCTCTGTGGCCTCACTCACCTCGCCTTTGAAGGGGACCAGTAGTGAATTCCAAGGCACCAGGACCTGTGGGCACCGCGGGCTCGCTCCTGGAGAGCCCGAGACGGGTCCGGAACGGAGTCAGCGCTTTCCTCCCTTCTCTGCTCTCCCACGCTGACTGGGCACCGCCGGTTACCAGGGACCCAGCAGGGACCTGGGCATGGTTCCTGCCTTCATGGAGTGCACAGTGGTGAAGGGACAGATACGTGACCCAGACCCAGCCACTGCACAGCTGGCAGTGTGACGGGGATCTGGGAGCCTGGGGTGGTCACCTAAGGCAGGCCGGAGGGGTGTGGAGCGATGGACACTCCGGTCGTTCCAGATTTTGCAGTGCCTGGAGGAGCAGCAGGGCTGTGGGGTGGGCAGGTGCCGCACAGGTGCGCTTTGGGGATGGAGGTCGTTCCCGGCAGAGGGAACGCAGGGGCAGAGGCCTGGGGGGTTGACGTGCCTGCACGTCGTGTGGGGGTGGCAAGCCGCCTCGTGTGGCTGGCACAGGGTGGGGAGCCGTTGGGGGGCTATGGTACAGGACAGGGGGGCCAGGCCGGACACCGAGGGTCCTACACACGGTCACGGGGCAGGGCAGGAACTGTCTGTTGGTGATGTTAGGGCTGCCAGCTTCTTCCTGGACCCAACCCTGCCCTGAGCCCACCTAGGTCCCCAAGGGGTCTTCTAGGGGGCTTGGCAAAGGCCAAGAGCCGAGCCTTCAGCAGAAGGAAGGCCCGGCCCTGGGCTCGTGCTTCCCAGGAAGCCCAAGCGTGTTTCTGGAGAGGGGCCAGCTGCTGATGGGGACTGAGCCACCGTCCAGGAGGACTCTCCTGAGCAGTCCGGGTGGGGGCGGGGACCAAGGAGACCCACCCATGACGGGGCTACGGGGGCAGGTGGCTGTAGTTACTCATCCCGTGTTTCTGAACTTCAAACCCAAGCTGTCTTGGAAACAGGTAAACCCTGTGTGTGTGCGCGTGCAGGCTGTGGCCTGTGTGTGGGTGTGTGTGGACAGGTGTGTGCAGCACGCGTCATGCCACATGAAGCTGTGCCTCAGAGCAGAGCGGGCCCTCGGCAGGTATCAGACGAGCATGTCACACTGAGGCAAGGGTGACCTGGAACCCAGTGTGGCCGCCCGAGAACTGCTGGAGGGAGCTGGCTGTAAGCTGCAGAGGTGGGCCAGGGACACGGGCCAGGTGCGGGGCAGGGACGCGGGCCAGGTGCATGCCTGCGCCGTGGGGCCTGCCCTAGTGTGGGCCAGACACAGAACAGAATGGCCTGGGAACATCCGCTCGTTTCGTAGAGTTTTATGAATCTTAAAGGCCATTTGTGGAACCTCTTTCCCCAAACAGCATGCTTTCTAGAACTCTCTATGTGGCACTTGGCCAGCCTCTGTCCACAGGCCTCCAGTGATAGAGCTCACCACTTCCCAGCTCAGACTCCCTGGGATTAGACACTTCTGGTTGCTGCGAATGGTAATGAAATCGTTGTTGGATTGATCAACAGAGCAGAAATAGCTACTACCATTAACTCGGCTTTTCCATGCCCCAGACAGTGTACCAAGCATGTCTCGTTTCCAGTTTCCCCAAAGCAGACCCGGACGCAAAGCCTTGGCAGCAGGCGGGGAACTGGGAGGGTCCCAGGCAGCGGGTGCAGGGAGGGAGAGGAGCCAGCGAAGGGTGGGTTGATGCAGGGTCACCTGCACAGGGACTGCAGTGGGTTCAGGCCTGCTGGGGACCCTCGGAGGGGCCATGTGTCCTGTGCTCAGAGTGGTCCCCTGGAGGGGGAGGCTGGCATTTGCCTGTGGCTTCCTGTCCCGCCTGTTCAGGCGTCTCTGGGCATTTGGCGTCCGGCTCTCAGAGCTGCCCTGGAACAGACACACTCAGGGCCGAGAGGTAGGAGGTTGGGAACTGTTCGCCACAGCCGCGGGAGGCTCAGGTGGGCCAAGGAGACGTGAGTCGGGTATTTGATCTCAGCAACCCTCGTAGGAAGATACTGTTATTTTCCATAATTTATACGAGAGTAAACTGAGGCACAGAGCAGTGCAGTGACAGGTTCGGAGTCACCCGGCTGCAGAGGGCCTGAGGCTGGCTGGAAGTTGCGCCCTTTGTGCCCATCTCCTGCCACCCTGACACTCCTCTCCGGGCCTCCCTGGGTGTTGCTCCTGTTGCCTTCTAGTTGCTTCCAGCCCTTGGTCCAAGCTTAGCCATCCTGAGGCTAAAAGCCTCTTCTCAGATCCCCGCTTCTTGCGTTTCCTCTGTCTCTACAGACCCAGGGCCGCTGGCACCCCTGCACGTGTCCCTGTGAGGCCGAACCTCCCCTGCCCGGGCTCTGGCCACCCTCCCCGGCCAGTCCTGTGCTCCTCCTGCACCCAGGGTCTGGGGAGGGCAGAGGGCAGGTGGCTGCCCCTGGCCTGGCCTCTGGGCCCAAGTGTGCACCCCCTGGTAGGTGTTACAGCCCGTCGGTGACCAGTCCCGCCTGTCTCTTTGTGTCCAGGAGCTGCAGTGTGACGTGTCAGTGGAGGAGGACAGCCGGCAGGAGTGGACCTTCACCCTGTACGACTTTGACAACAATGGCAAGGTCACCCGAGAGGTGAGTACACCTACCATGCGCCCCGCCCTCACGCACGGGGCCAGGGACAGCAGCCCGCCACGGCTGCCCCTTCCCCTGCAGGGGTGGCTGCAGCAGGCAGCGGCTGGGCAGGGAGGGGGGCAGCAGGGCTGCTGGGAGCTTCTAGGAGGTCTCAAGGGATGACCCAGAGCTGCCAGCGAGTGGGAAGAGGTGACAGGGAGAGGCAGGGACAGGCACAGAGCCCCAGGGCCTCCCCAGAAAAGGATCCCGGACCCAACAGAATCCTGCCCTGCTTCCTTCACTCTCTGGTCCCCGAGCTCCAGGGCTGGGGCCACTGCGGGCCACCTCCCCGCACAGCCCTTCTGCCCAGGAGCTCGGATGGGAGGCGAGCACACAGGCCACGCGGCACCTCCCCTCCAGGGGTGAGCACCCCATCGCTAAGGGCCCTGCTGCTGGCTCTGTGGTCACAGCCCTGGTCACGGCCTCCCCCGAGCCAGTCCTCCTCATCCTCCCTGCGTGCCTGTGTCTGTCTGTCCGCTCAGGGCCCTGCCCCCACACGTCCCTCCTTCCTGCTGTGTCTGCAGACGGGGCGCCAGCCCTGTGCATCCGCCAGGCACGCAGTGCAAGGACACAGCGGGGGTCAAAGCAGACACAGTTCCTCCCCTCGCGGCCCTGACACCCTGATGAGGGAGACAGGTCCAAGCAATTATAGGATAAGTGTGAGTGACGACGCGTTCAGGGAAGGAAATAAACAGGACGGGGCCACGGGGATGGGCGGAGGTCTGGGGAAGGCTCCTGGGGGGAGCCGGGCCGTGGGGCGGGCGGCGGGCACAGCTCTGGGAGCGCCCAGCGGGCGGTGTCTGTCCTCCTCTGTGCGTGGTACAGGAGAAGCTGGCCTTTATGCTGCCGGGGGAGACCGGGTTAGAAAGGCCACCTCCTCCGTAGGCTGTGATTTAGGGGCTGATCCCACGGGTTAGAGGACGAAACAGGGACTGACTAATCACTCAGCACTCTTTATGTGTAAGTGACAATACCAGCCCCAACTGGTGGACTTAAAAACAAAAGGGAATATATTGGCTCCTGGAACTGAAATTTGGTCTGGGGGGCTGATTTCAGGTATGGCTGGATCCAGAAGCTCTGTGTCTTTAGGACCAGAAGTTCATGGTTCTGCTTCCTCTGTGCTCTCTATCAGGCAGGCTGTCCCCCTGGTAGTGGCAAGCTGGCCGCTGACAGCTTTAACCTATGGCCCGTCCTCTCAGCAACCCACACATTCAGAATGTCAGCACAAGCTCCCAAACCAACTCTGACAGCTGGGCTGGGCTTCTCAGTACAGCGGCATCTTCCTTTCCTTACCTGGGCAGTGGTGAGGATGACTCAGCCCCTTGCAGCTGCCACCTCCAATTTTTCCTGGTTTGGAAGGTGCTGAGGAGCTCACGTACTGACCACGCAAGGATTTGTCCCCCACCTCGGGGACCTTGCAGAAACCCGTGGGCAGACACTGTTTTCTGGCTCCGTATTCGTGTCCTCCTGTCCGCCTTGGTAATGAGAGGAAGGGAGAGAGGGTTTCCAAGGAGGGTGGCCTAACGTGGCCCCAGGGAAGGAGTGCACTGGATCGTGTTTTCCTCCCAACAAGGAGCTGGGACTCCTTCCAGTTGAAGGAGGGCTCAGCCTGGTGCCCCCGTCTATTTATAGCCCAAAGCCACTCCTCACGGCTGCAAGTGCCATGCCCCCTGTGCTTTCTGTGTGCCAGGCAGAGGGGCTTCCACCTCAGTGCACCTGCAGACCAGAGCCAGGGTCTGGGCCAATTCTCCAACTTGGGAAAAAAGTACCTGTTCATCCTTCAGGTGTTCATTCATGCAAGAAAGAGTTATCACACCTTTTCCTGCATGCCTGACCCTGTGCAGCCAGTGGGTTGATTTTCAAGCTGGGATCATCAGGGTCTGCCTGATCCTAGACCCCGAGACAACCAGGACCTTGGATCACACGCCGGCCCAGCCTCTCGGGGTGTAAGAGGCCTGGGCATGATGATGGACTTCGGCTGCCTCACCCGCGTGCGGCCCTCCTCCACGGCCTCCCGCCATGGCGAGAGGGCGAGAGCAGCCGAGGCCGCGCAGAAGCGCTGGGGAGGGAAGAGGGAGGAGAGGAGTCCCCTACGGGCTGTGCCGAAGAGCTGGTATCGCCGAGTGAGCCACGTCAGCAGCTGGGGCCTGGGGCTCAAGCTGGCGGCCCCCACACTTGCAGTCTGGCCCCCAGGTCTTCTAGTCTGGGACCCCAGAGGCTTTTGTTAAAAATTAAATTAGTTGCCAGTATCAAAGATTCTGAAGATTTAACAGAAGATTCTGGACTTGTGGCTGTTCTGGGATGACCCTCAGCCTGCATTGTCAAAAGGCAAGCCGGCTCCCCCGGGACAGGGCCCCTGCCTCGGTTGGCCCCCACCGCTCCGGGCCACGCATCCACGTTCCTGCCTGGGCATGGCTGTGCAGGCGCCGCCGCTGCCACCCCCGCTAGAGGGCTCACGGCCGGCCTGGGAGGGAGGGCCGGCCTGCTGTGCGCGTGCCTAGCGGGGAGGATACAGGCCGCGCCCGGGCCGACTTAGAGCGCGGTGTCTTCTCCAGAGGTTTCTAACGTCATTTAAAGCCGGTCGCTGCCCCACGAGACAGACACCCCAGCAGATGCCCGACGATGGGAGGCCGAGGGCGGGGACTCTGCACTCCCTGACCTAGTCAGGGTCGCCCCTGGGGCATGGTTTGGGGACCCCTGTTCAGCTGAGGGGTACTTGAGGCCCAGAGAGACAATGAGACTTGGTCAAGCTCTCACAGAGCAGCTTGTCTCCCAGGGACTGTCCTGGCCAGCTCAGGCTGCCGCAACAACACACCACAGTGGGCGAAACTGCAGAAATTCGTCCTCACGGTTCTGGAGGCTGCACGTCTGGGACGGGGCCCGGCCCTGGTGAGGGCTCTCCGTCTGGCTTGCTGCCGCCGCCCCTCCTGTGCCCACGGGCGGGCGGTGGGAAAGGCCTCTGGCATCCTCCCGTGGAAGGGCGCTGTGCCTGTCGCATTAGCGCCCCTCACGCCCTCCTCCCGTCTTAATTACCTCCTTGCTCCAAAGACAGTCGCTTCGGGGTTAAGGCTTCAACACGCGAGTCGGGGAGTGGGGACACAGCTCGGTCTGTAGCAGGGCCACATCCCCACCCACGTCCGTTCGGAAGGAGCTCGCGGGACGGGGGCAGGTGCGATGCTGCCCACCCCGTGTTCTCCAGGCCCGCCTCGAAGCCCACCTGCCGCCAAGGTGGACGGCACCCGTGATAAGAGCTTTCTTGGGTGCAGGGCAGCCCAAGTTCAGGGGGTGTCGTCTCCTCGGGGCACCTCTCGGCCGGCGGGGGGAGAGCCAGTGTAGCAGCCCTTTCCTTCGCGGGTGGGCCTGCCCCGCGAGGCCCGGTGTAGCCGAGCACCTTGCCCATGGCTGTGCCCGCCCTGCCCGTTTCCCCTGTGGGTGTTTCCTCCCTCATGCTCCTGCTCCCCCATCTGCCCCGGGGAACCCCCAGCATCCAGGTTTCCGCCTCAGGCTCCGCCTTGGGGGGACCAGAGGGGTCCGGCCCTGCAGCGAGTTCAGTGCACGTGGCTGAAGCCCGCGTGCGTTCCTGCTTCCCTCCCCGGGCAGGACATCACCAGCTTGCTGCACACCATCTACGAGGTGGTCGACTCCTCTGTCAACCACTCCCCGACGTCAAGCAAGACGCTGCGGGTGAAGCTCACCGTGGCCCCAGACAGCAGCCAGAGCAAGAGGAGCGTCCTTGTCAACCAGGCCGGTGAGGGCTGCGGGCCGGCTGTGGCAGTGCGCTGCCCTCTCCCGGGAGAGGCAACGCTGGGGACCCGGGGCTCTCGCGGAGCTGCTGTGGTCAGATGGGGATGGATCGGGCCCTTGAAGGACAGGATCAGGTGATGGGAGGGGAGGCCCGGCACGGGCAAAGCCACGGGTGTGGCGCGCAGCCATAGCTGAGGCTGGGCGGGGTGTGTAGCGCCTCAGAGCCATCTGAGATGGGGGAGGAGGCGAGCGGGACAGGTAGCGGTGAGCCCCTCCGTCTAGACCTGGCCCGGGGAGCCCCCCACAGAGGCCCCGAGTGGCTGCTGGGGCAGAGCCGAGGGCTGCGGCTCACTGCGGCGTCCTGCGCTTCTCTACCGCCACGCAGACCTGCAGGGCACGAGGCCGCGAGCAGAGACCAAGCCCGCCGAGGAGCTGCGGAGCTGGGAGAAGAAGCAGCGAGCCCCGCTCAGGTATGGCGCGCACAGTGCACACGAGCACATATTAAGCACCAGTGGTGTACCTGCATCCGAAGGATTCGCAGCAGGGGGCTCCAGTCTGTGCTCTCATGCAGGGGGCCAGCAATGTTAGACACAGAAATAAAACTCTAAAACGTAAAGGATGACTAAATGCAGTCTCCCTCATCCCCTATGCCAAACACTTCAGGCCAGACATGGTTTGGAATTGAGCATTTGGGCTCTAGAAAGCATCCCACGTGTTTCTCATGCATCGTATGCGGGCTTGGGCAGCGCCTCGGGTTTCCCCGCTGGTGCTGACGGTCCGCCGGGAGGTGCGGGGACTCCCACTGAGTGGGATAAACGCCATAAACACCTTCCCATCCCTTGGGGGAGCTCTGCTGCCAAGTAAGTGGGTCATGAAAAATATTTGTTTTCAGGCTTTTTGATGTCCGAATTGTGCATGAGGGATTGTCAGTCTGCAGCTACCTTTCACCTGTTCTCTCTCTAACGCGAGGGAGGGGGTGGAGAGGAAAGGCAGACTGTTCAGAGGGAAGCATTGAGTAAGAGCGGTAGAGCAGGCGCCAGGGTGTGTTAGCCCTTAGTGTGTGCCAGCGAGAGATGACGGAGTTGGGTCAGTGCCAGCGCAGGCGAGAGCAGGGACACAGCGTGGTGTGGGCAGAGGGCTGGGGATCGGGGGTGACAAGGCCGGCTGGAGATGGAGGGAGGGACTGGAAGATCACAGAGGTCCTGGAAGGGGAGGGACAGGGAGCCCAAGTCCTGCAGCGGAGAAAGGAGGCCTCTGGCAGCGCTTCTCTCGCCTGCCACTCCACACAGGCACACGCACACACACGCACACGCACGCACGCGCTAGGGAGGCCTGCTCTGGGCTTTAGGGCAGATCATGGAATCTGCCAGCCTCAACTCCAGCGGTCTGGGGGACAGACCGGGGGTGGGGCCACCTGCCTGTAGTGCGTACATGCAGCTTAAGCCTGGCTGTGGGAGATGCTCAGGTGTCGACCAGTGCCCCTCACATTTGCTCCAGGCCTGCTCCCTGCAAAGTCCTCTCCATTCCTGCCAGGGGCCCCAGGGAGGCCAGACTGCAGAGTTGATCGTTTTTCCCCTACTCTCTTCCCAAGACCAGGAAGGAAATTAACAACAGGTCCAGGATTTGTCCCAGTGGCCTTCCAGTAGCCCCTACCTGGTGCTGGCAAACCCACTTGCTGTCCCCGCTGTAGGTTCCAGGGTGACAGCCGCCCAGAGCAGTCTGACTGCTACCACCACTGCGTGGATGAGAACATCGAGAGGAGAAACCACTACCTGGATCTCGCTGGGATAGAAAACTACACATCCCAGTTTGGGCCTGGTAAGGGGCTCAGGCATGCTCCGGGGCATGGGGGGAGGGGAGGGGAGGGGAGGGGATGGGGGCGTGGCTGGATGGCCATGCGGGCAGCATCCATTGCTGCTGCAGGCTGGGGAGATGTAGCTTTTATTGGACAGGTCAAAGACTCTTCTTGGAGGAATTGACATTAAAAATTTTTCAAAATGAAAAGTAATACCTACACAAAGTTGAACAAAATCAAATAGTATCTGAGTGCTTAGGGTATAATGAAAAACAACAGCTCCATGCCCCATTCCCCAGCCCTCCCCAAGGCAACCGTGTGAACTCCTTGTGGCTGTGTGTTCCATAGAGAACCCCAGTTTTGCTAAGTAGAACTTGCTGTGTCTTTACCAGCCTGTGACATATGTTGACTTAATTTCTCTTGCTTAATTTTGCTTGCCTCCCCACCCCCTCTTCCCTTGCCCCCAATATGTTTAATTCCTGCATGGGCCACTTCTGCATGTTTTCGGTAATGTACTTAGCATTCTTTCTTGCCCCAGTGGCCTTAGACAGTTTCAGGGTCTCTGTCATGATCTCTCTTTCTCAGCTGTCTCCTGGAAGGAGAATTTATTATTTTTGAAGACCAACCGAAGAACCAGTTCCTTCCACTCAGCAGATGGGAAAGTCCATTTCAGGGTTTTCCTACAAGGCAGCCGGGGCATGGGGGTAGCTCTGATCAAGAACAGCTGGCATTTATCAGTCTTGGAGAACTGGGGGCAGCGTGATTTCTAGGGTACAGTACAAGTCCTAGCACACAGTAGGTGCTCATTAAATGTCTGTTGAATTGGTTCCTAGGCTCCCCTTCTGTGGCCCAGAAGTCAGAACTGCCCCCCCGCACCTCCAACCCCACTCGGTCTCGCTCCCATGAGCCGGACGCCATCCACGCGCCCCAGCGAAAGCCCCAAGGCGCGGACCCGGGCTCCTTCCACCTCCTTGACAGCCCAGTCGCCAAGGTCTCAGAGCTCCAGCAGCGGCTCCGGGGCACCCAGGACGGGAGCAAGCACTTTGTGAGGTCCCCCAAGGCCCAGGGCAAGAGTGTGGGTGTGGGCCATGTGGCCAGGGGGGCGAGAAGCAAGCCCCCTCTGGCACCTGCCGTCCCTGCGGTGTCCCCATCTGCCCACCTGGCCACCAGCCCGGCCCTCCTCCCCACCCTGGCCCCCCTTGGGCACAAGAAGCACAAGCACCGAGCCAAGGAGAGCCAGCAGGGCTGCCGGGGCCTGCAGGCGCCGCTGGCCTCGGGCGGCGCCGTCCTGGGGCGGGAGCACCTGCGAGAGCTGCCCGCCGTGGTGGTGTACGAGAGTCCGGCCGGCCAGGCGGTCCAGAGACACGAGCACCACCACCACCACGAACATCACCACCATTACCACCACTTCTACCAGACATAGAGCCCCTCCCCAGGGCCCCCTGCCATATGAAGGACCCCCTCTCCCGACACCCCAAGGCATTATTATTCTATTAATTATTGTTATTATGACGATTATTGTTATTAATAATTATTGTTACTCCACTAATATTTAGCTAGCCTTCATGTAGAAGATATATGGAAACACAGAACTAAACTCTTATTTATATGTTGTGGGGACTGCATACTTACCCAGGAAATGACTGGTTTGGAAGGGGCCTAGAGACGGCAAAGACTCCCTCAGGGCTCGGGAGCGGCAGTGTCCTCACGCATTGGCCACACCCTTCCAGAGCCGTGGGAGCCCTCGGCCCAAGCTCTGCCCGCCTCCACCCAGTCTCTTCCAGGAGAACACCTTACCTGGCCCGGCTTCCAGACACCCTTGAAATCTCCGAGAAGATAAACAGCTGCTACCTCTTAGTATTATTCTGAGTTTATTTTGCCCTTAACTGATTGTAATGTGCTACAAGGGATTTCAGCGGACTGCAGACACGCGACCTCCTTGCTGTTGTGTTTTTATGTCCCAACCTAGAAACCTTGGCTGTCCTTTCTGGAGTTATCTTTGGCGCTTTTCCAGTGGGATCAGGCCCTTGCCCCAAACCAGTCCCATCCTTTTTGCCACGAACAACATAAAAATACACTTTCTTCTTTTCTTCCTTCATTCTTCTTTAGAAAGATGCACACACACATATTTAAGGACTGTTCCTGAAACCAGCCTTTTCATTTTGGAAACTTCTAGAGAGGGAACCAACCATGGTTTTCCAAAATCAGGCAATTGTGTGCTGTTGGTTGTGAAGGAGGATGTGGAAAACTCGTGTTTTACCACTGGCAAGTATATATGTACCTACGTGGTTCTCTAACAGAGCTGTCCCTATCTATAGACAGGTGCCAGCTGTCCATTTCTATGTACCTTTCTGTAAATATACACTCTCAGGTATCTTTTCTGGTGGGAGAGATCAATGGTTTGCTTTTCTAGATGCTTCATGAGCCCAGATGTGACCCTATGTGCCTCCTATTGAGGCTGGATGTCCCTCCAGTGCTTTCATCAGAGGTCCTTTCTCAGAATTTGGAATCTGACGTTTTGGAGGGAAATGGGGACAGTGGCCAGAGTTGGGATCCTGGAGAAGTGTCCTCTGCAGAGAAGGATATTGTCTGGCCAGAGCCCAGAGTGACCTGGAAAAGAACCACTGTCAACTAGTTGGGGTCCCCATGAAAAGCAGATTACACACTCAAATGGGTAATGTGAGGAGAGTTTAATAAAGGGAATATTTACACATTGCGAGTGAAGCCTCAAGTGAGTGCAGAACCCTGGGGCTGGCGCTGTGGGGCACCACTCCCTGCCCTGCCCCTGAGGGGTGAGGGGGCGTCATCTTCAGCAGACAGAGGGTTAGGGGGTAGGGGAGACCCCTGAAGGAGCTGTGACCTTCGGTCGAGGGATGCCACCAGCCCTGGGGACTCCCAGGAAAATAAATGTCCTGACCTCTCCTGCCCCTGTGAGTCCTGCCAAAGCACCACGGGCATTCCGGGGCAGTGGAGAGTGGCTCTGGAGGAACACGGGATGGAAACGTGGCTCCAGCTGCCTTTCTGCTGCTTTGTCGCCCAGTGAGGATCCCCTTTTCCCGAGCCTGGAGTTTGGGTTTAAGGTAGTGAGTAAAGCATCATTTCTGAAGGTAGTGGGCTTAGTTGTTGTGTCTGTGTTATTAAGTTTACTAATTGTTGGTGTGCCTGGGACTGGATTAATTCGTTAATACTTAGGATAACCGTACAAGGCAAGCAGTGGACACTCAGGGAGCGTGTCTGAGGCTCAGAGAGGTTCAGTGATTCTTGAGACCACACACTAAGTGGCAGCGCTGGGATTCTGGTCTCCAGATATCCCTTAACCACTGGTGAAGGGCGTTACCACTGAATTTGGGCTCCCCTGTTTGGGGTTGTGGGTTTCTGTTCAGTCAGAACCCAGCGCAAACTGAGGTGCATGAAACCAACTGGGGAGGCAGGGAGGGAGCGGGCTTTGCGATAACAGGATCCAGGATGCTAGCAGAGCTGAGCCTGGTTCTGGTCCCTCTTTCTGGATTTATACTTGTATAACTCCTGGCATGTTTGGTCGGGGAATCCCCGGAAGAAAAGGGGTCGTTCCCTAGGGGAAAAGGCCCAGGGGAGGACTGTGATTGGCTGGGCTTAGATCAGATGCCCAGCTATGGACCAATGACTGTGGACCAGCAGGAGTCACGTGCCCTACGTGCGGCGAGGGGCGTGGCGTGTGCAGCAAGACTGGTGGGAGAGGCGCAGAGAGGACAGGAAAAGATGGCGCCCGGGCCTGCGTTGCTGCTCCGGTGAAATGCGTGGCCGCCGTTATGATATGATGCAGGTCCTCCGCCGCCTCCGCAGCCCCACATCTGTCAGGATTCTGTTACTGCTTCCTAACTGGTTTTTACCCCACTCACAAAAATCATTTTTAAAACCAGTAACGTGCACACGTAAAATGTTCAAATGGTACAAAAGGTGTACAGTAAAAAGTAAACTTCCAGCCCAGGCCGGTCGGCATCCTTGATACCAGCTTCCTGGGTGCTTTTTGGGACCCTTCAGTGTGGAGTGGTGGTCGTGAGCACAGGCTTTGGCACAGGCTGCCTGACTCCCTCTCATTGTAGCTCTGTGCTTTAAGTGAAATAGTGAACCTCAGTTTCCCCTTTGTAATGGGGAGGCTCTTGAGAGTACCTACCTCACAGTGAGACCCCAACAAGTTAAAACTGCCTGGACCCTATGAACACTATCAAAGTGTTAGCTGCCCTTTACCAGAGTAAATGCATTCACATAAAATATCTCCCTATATAAATTTTAATTTTTTAAATATTTCAAACACAAAGTTTAAACAGAAAAATTGTGTAACAGCAACTGTGAGCTCATCACCTAAAATTTACGCATGCTGATATTTTTGCAATATTTATTTCAGATTTATTTTTAAGAAAGAAAATCCTGCAGTTACCACTTAATTTCCTCCCACCCCACTCTTTAATTTTTACACAAGGAGTAGCATAGTGTTCATACTTACACTGTTTTTCTCTGAAACCTAATTTATTAGTACTTGGAGCTCATCACTCCTCGGTCCTATAGCTCTGCCCGCTTCTAACAGCTGCTCCGCCTTCTGTTGCTAGAGGCGCTGTCACCAGCTTGCCCATCCCCTCCCGGTGGGCAAGTGGCCGTCTCTCCTGGGCTCTGAGGGACACACTGCACGGAGTGCACCACGGCAGGAGCACAGGCACGCGAAGTGTCCACATGGAATGCTGAGTTCAGGAGCAAGTGTGGTTTCAATTGCGACGCTCTTGTCAGTGACCTCTTGAAGAGATTATACTGAATAATGAGAAATTGAAGGAATAAGAAAGAGGAAGGAAGGTTGAAAGGGAGGAAAGGAGGAAAATCTAGAAGGGGGCAACTGCTTGGTGAGGCTTTGAGCACATTTTCCTGCGGGCTGGTGTGGGTGAGATGGTAGTTTCGTCTCGCTTCAGACCTGCTGACACCCATTTCAGAGGAGCAGTCGCCCTGGGGCCCTGAGTTCTGAGCATGGGGCTGCCCTGGGATCTGGAGAGGTTGTGAGGAGACCCCACTTGTGGCGAGAGGTGGCCTGTTTCTGCTGATCTGTCACCGGCACGAGGGCTGGGTGTGTTCAAGGCAGACGGCTGGGTGGGATGCCCAGCCATGCTCAAGGGCCTGCTGTCATCTCCCAGAGCCTGGGAGGCTGGTACGTGTCACATCCAGCCGTGCCAGTTACACTTTTTGGCAAAGGAAACAGCCTGAGCAGGTTCTCTCGCTGTCCCCTCTTTTTCTTAGCGTTTACATCTCATTACTGGGGGGGGGGAGCAGCCTCAGAGGTGGCAGGAGGAAGGGGAAGGCTGCGTGCACCTCAGCGCTGCGTCTGTCAGATGCTGCCACTAATAACCCGGCTTCCCTGAGGCCTGCCAGCGCCCTCGGGAATCAAGGGGACTCCTAAAATGCGCTCAGTGCTATGGGCTGTGAATGCCCCACCCCCGCCTTCACCTCCTTGTTGGAGATGGGGCTGCCTGCTGCACGGCAGACACCTGGGGGGTAAGCTTTACCTTGGGGCAACACAGGCGTGCTCCAGCATGCACCCTCCTACCCCCACTCGGCTTCCCCAGGCTGGCGGTGACCTTCTCCAGGTGTGCACAGGCTGCCTTTCGAGGAGCAAATACAGGTGGCTCGGCCACAAGAATCACCGACCCCTAAAAGCTGTAAGTTTTATCACTTGCCACGGTCATGCCCTTTCTTTGGGGCTCTGACCTGCTTTTGGTCTCATCACCTCCCAAACCAGCAGAACCTTGAACCCAGTCCCTCTTCTCAGGGGCTCACGACCCTGAGAGTTTTTCCTGATTGACGTAGGTAACTAAAAAAAATTAACGCGGTTTACACTTTGGAAAAGGAGAGCTTTATTTCTCATAAAGGTTCGCAACCCGTTGGGTGGCCTTTCCAACAGGGTGGGACGCAGAGCCCCGGCGAGGAGCCAGACGCGTGTGCTTCAGAGAAGGGGCCGAGGGGAACAGGGTTTTATATTGAGCGAGGTGGTCAAATATACATATTCAACAAGCGATAGGAGGAGGCATGAATGCTCACGAAGGGAAAATCATACACATGTAACTGTGCTTTATCTCTCCCATCCCATCATGTCTGGGGACTCAGTTTTAAGGTGTTTCTGGGGTCCCCTTGGCCAAGAGGGGTCTATGCAGTTATCAGAGGGCTTAGGATTGTATTTTTAATTCACAATGTATTTCCAGGCAAAGGGTGTTCTGTATCTAGCATCTGCTTCTAGCATAAGAAGAGGGAATGGATGTGGGACCCATTTTCCAGTAGCGGAAGGTGACGCTGGGGAGGAAGTGGCAGAGCCTGGCCGAGACTGCCCCCTGCCTCCGGCTAACTGACTGGTGGGTTTCCTCCTCTCCCCACTTTCGCACAGAGTAGAAGAATCCTGGCACATTTAGCCTTCAAGCCTGGCAGAGAGTCTTATGACATGAGACCCTCCAGATGTGACTCGCGTGGACCAGCCTGCTGGCAGGGGGTGGGAAAGGCAGAGATGGGTGCTCCCGTCCAGTAATTCTCATCCTATGGCTACTTCAGAATCCCCTAGGGAGGTTTAAAAAAATACTGTTGCCTGGAAAGTACCTTTCCTCCTCTGACGGTGCCAAGGGGTGAGTTTGCAGTGTGGCCCAGGCATCAAAAGGTTTCTAGCTCCCAGGCGGCTTCTGTGCAGCCCAGCTCAGACCCTCTGGAGCCTTGCGTCTTGCCCAGATGACCTCAGAGGGCCCCTTTGAGGGAAGCGCCTGGCTTCACAGGCTGTAAGAACCCCCCAGGGAGCATGTTACCTGCGGATACGCAGGCCCTCCCCCAGAGATTCGGTGGCACGAGGTGGGTCTGGGGGTGGGCGCAGGGATGAGTACCTTTAACAAGCTCCCCGCCTCAGGAGGTGGCACTGCAGCCAGGCCGCCTTGGCTTAGCGGGTGGAGCCCCGGCGGCCCTGCCTTAGGAAGTGTGTGCATTAGGTAGAGGAGGCAGAGGGAGAGCTCCCCCCGCCCCTGCTGCACCAGGGGCCTCCAAAAACTTCATGAATGTTGGAGCAAGTGACCGTGACCACAGCAGAGGACAGGATGGAGGTTCAGTGACAGCCCTCTGTGTTTGGGCTGAGTTCTTTTCCCAGCTGCCCTGCTTTCTGGCGCCCGAGTAAACTACCTCTCCTCCCTGCCATAAAACTACAGGCACCCAAAGACAGCGAGATTAGTGAGACTCGGAATGTCCTCGACCAGGGCAGGTCCACAGTGACCCCTGGTGTGGGGACCACACACTGTCTTCCCTCCCTTGGCTCAGGACTGGGATCTGAAATGGGGAGATATGAGTGGCCTTCCTGAGAACGTCTCTTCCCGACCTTCCCACTTTGCTTCGGAGCCTTGGTCAGGGCCAGCCCTGGGGAAGAGGGCTTGGGGCCACAAACCGCTGTCCCATTTTGCAGGACCCAGGCTTGGTTCCAAGCTTGTGGGGGCTCTGCCTTGCCCCGGCTGGGGTCTGCTTTGGGGACCACATGTGGGCAGACCCTTCAGGGTGCCCTTCCCCAGCCCCTAAATCGGGGAGAAGTAGGTAGGGAGGAGCATTAGAGCTTAGAAGAAGGACTAGGGCACAAGCAGCCCCAGAGAAGTTTCTGGGGACTGAGGACGGGCCCTGGGGGAAGGGAAGAGCAGTCAAGATCCCCCTGGGCCACTGAACAGGACCAAGTCCTTAATAAGGGGTCCTAAGCACTGAAAGGGTTACTCCTCACTCCCACCCTGGGCCCTGGATTTCCCCTGCTCCACTAAAATAACTCTTTTCTAGATGTTTCTTATCACAAAATTCTGGATGAATTCATCAACGCTGACCTTTGCTATTTTTTATTTTCCAACAAGGCCTCCCTTCCTGGAGCCGCTGGTGCCCAGGCCGAGGGCAGTCAGCGGCGGCTGTCAGAATCCTGGGCTGTCAGTCGCTGTCCTCGCGGTCTGACACACCCCCAGGCAGGGACTTCTGTTTCCTTAGGACGCTGCTGCTGCGTGGAGTAGGTGGTTAGTAAGTGGGAGAGGGAGGTGGCAGGAGGGGTGAAGATTTCACATCCTTTACCACCTGTTCACCGCATCCTCAGAGCAGCAACATTTCAAGTAGAAGTTTGGGAAAGCCACACAGCATTGCCAACTTTTAATGTTGCTAAATAAGGATGTAAAAAAAAAAAACCAAGGAAAAGAATAGAAAACTGCAGTCTCTTATTGTTTAAATGAAAACCAAATAAAGGAAGGACATAATTTAGCTTTATTTAAAAAGAAAAAACTCTCATTGTGTTGTCTTGGTTTTTGGTCCCCCCCCCCCCGGAAGCCAGCAGAAATTTGGTCAACTGTTCATTGTGTTTTTGGACAACTAATTGTGGTAGGGCGAGAATTATTCTTCCCATTTTAGGGACAGGAGAACTGAGACTCCAGGAGGGGTGTGGTCCAAATGACACTTCTTTCCAAAGCTGAGCCCAGACCAGCTCTTGGGCCCCTTTTCCAGTCTGTGGCCTCAGCTGTCTCTTAGGGCGTGGAGGTAGGGTGGCAGCCGTGATCTGCGGGGAGGGGTTCCACAGCCTGCGTCACCGGTCCGTGACTGCAGAGGCCACTGCGTGACCCCGCTTGTGCGGGCAGGCTGCACGGCCTGTCACGGCCCGGCCCGGCCAGTGGTCGGCCCCTGCAGTGTTTCTCAGTGCGTGGTAGGGGGTTGGGGTCACACTCCCCAGGAAGCCCTGGGGGCTGGAACTCTGCCCCTTCCCTTCCTATTCCCTGCTCACTCTGAGCCCCCAGAGCCCCCTCTGCTGGTTGGGACCATACCTGGCATGTCATGTTTGACCCATCCAGGCTTTCAAAATTTTTGAATTAATTCCAAAATCTAATGGTTTCACTTAAAAATTCCAGATTTGAGGCTTTTTTGGTCAAACTCACAAAGTGTGCTCAGCCCCGGCTCGCATTCCCATTGGCAGCCACCCGCAGACACTGAGAA